CACGATTTTCGGCTCATCCACTGATTCTTTTGTTCCGATTTGGTCATAGGGGTGTTCAAAATCACATTTCAAAAGAATTAAATTTTTTTTACCTTTTTTGGCGGTCAGAGGTGGCTCCGGCGCGGTGGTGGGCAGTGGTTGATTCCCTTTTCTGACGACTGGTTCTTCTTCTCCGACCGGAGGGGAGGGGGGGAGGGGCTAGTGGCTAGAGTTAGGGTTTGATGTGAAGTGAGATATTTATACCCGTCTCCTTTTAATCTGAACCGTTCATCACGTTTGATCTCGACCGTCCAATTGTATTTAAAGAGAAAATAAATCTGGACCGTTCATCGTGATTTAATCTGAACCATACGATCGCATTTAAAGAGGGAACGAATTTGAAACGTTCATCGCATTTAATCGCGATCGTCCAATCGTGCCTGAGGGAGGAATGAATCCGGACCGTCCACGTGCGTGAGAACAAATTTGAACTGTTCGATCACGAGCACGTGGATTGGCAGTGTGGCCTCCTGCGCGGCACCGAGTCAACGTGCCTTGGTACGCGGCGCGTTCCAGTTCGTCAGAACTGTTGATTGGGCGGTCCTACGTATTTAAATTACGTTTTGACCTATAATTTTTGATTTTTTTTTTCAAAAATACTATCTGAACCTAAATTTTCACCTATTTTTTTTAAAATTATTTTCAATTTCATCATCAATATATTTTTTTTAACTAATTTTTACATTAAATAAAAATTTATAAGTATAAAAATTATATGTATATATATTTATTTTTAATTTTATTTTTTTTAAAATTAATCTCGGACCAAGTTTTGGACCCAAGTATTACATCTATCAATATATTAAACTTTTGTGATAGTAAATTATGATTATATATAACATTGTTGCATCAAGTTTTAATTTAAAAAATTAACCGCGAGGATCAATATTTTACTCAATTAGATTTTACCTTTAGTAAAAAAAAAAAAAGTGACATCTTTCAAAAAATTACCGCTCTCGATAGGTTTGTTTTCATGTTTATACCAAACCGAGCGAAAGTTAAATTATTTTGACTCCAAATTTATTACAATGCTTCAATTATTTTTATAGATAAAAAAAATATTATATAGTGATTAAATTTTTTTAATTAAAATATTTAATTTTTTTATTTTTTATTTTGAATTTTTCGTAAATATATAGGTACAATATATTTATTTATATATATCTTATTTGAATTTTTAATTGGGAAAAAAAATGTTTGCTTAGTGCTTACACTTGCAGCAGTCCTTTTGGTAATTTTACGAAGCTGAAAATTGGGTTATGGACCTTTGCCATCCCCCACAAAAAAGGTGGTGGGAGAAAAGCTCTTTTTGTACACACTGCGATGATGGTGATGATGATGATGATGATGCCTTCAATCTCCAACAGCGAACACAACAAAAACAATATCAACATTTCAATTCCCTTCCTTCACTCACTCTCTCTCTCTTTCTCTCCTCTCCAAGACCCATGACCAATCTCTGCTCGGAGCTCTCCGTTCATCTTCGTCTTCTTCTTAGTCGCTCCAAAAATCTCACGCAGTTGTATTAAGTTTAACCCATGAAATATATCGGAGAGACGCAGCGGAAGTAGCTCATCAAATTCCAAGTTCATGGATGAAAAGTGCGGTTGCTGGGCTGTTCTTAAACGCGGCGTCAGAGGTGCCTGCAACTCCTCTGCTTCCCGAGATTCTCCTAACACTATTCCTCGCACTAGTCTTGTTTATGACGCAGGTATCTTTTTCTGTTTCTTTTATTATTATTATTATTATTTTTTTGGCTTTCTCTCGGTTTTTGTTTTGTTTTGTCAGATTTGCTTGTGGGTTTCTATTTGAAAATCCTTTCTGTCAAGTTGAAAATCTTTATGAGATTGGCTTCTCTGTTCTTCTTATCTTTATCCAATCGAGGATTTTATACTTGCAAATGTTTGTTTATTTGTTTTGGGTCCTCTCTCTATTGATTCCTTGTTGCTTTTCTTTTGTGGTAAATTTGAAAGTTGAATTTGGTTTAATGCTCTATATGTCTCTTGGTTTTCGTCTTTGTTCGAATCCAAGAGAATCTTAAGATTGGATTTTCTGTGTTTGGAACTATTAAAAATTGATAATCTGTTCAGTAGATCTCACACTTTGGCGTTTCTGCTGATTTGTTGAGCAAATACCCGTTTCATAAACCAGCTCATTGTGCTTCTTAAATCTTAATATCCTGAAAGGCACTTTTCTATTTTCTTTTTTCTTATGAAGAAATTGTTAGACTTGAAAATTGATGCTAGACATCTTGGTACTTTATCTAAATTTTTTCTGTTTCCAAACATGGAGTAAGACAAAGGGTGAGGGAGATATTGCGCCTTTTTACTCAGCAATTTCCTTTTTTTGCTATTACAGTTATCAGCCTGAATTTTGGGTGTGCATAGATTGAATCAAATTAGAATCTCTTGGAAAGTAGAAGTTTTTGTAATGTAGTTTGGTATTGTTTGTGAAATATCTGAAGTAAACTGAAATTACTTCTCGAGACAAAATCATGATCAAGATGAGTTGACTTGATATGAACCTGGTTCTTGCAGCTACAGAGACACGGTATCTAAATGCTAGTAACCGCGACCTATGTCCCAATGAAGCTCATCTATCTTCGGATAATCCTGATCCACCTCCAGAAAATAACAAACCCCCATGTCAATTGCTCCAATTTACATTCCAGGAGCTAAAATCTGCAACTGGAAACTTTAGACCCGATAGCATTCTTGGAGAGGGAGGCTTTGGGTATGTGTTCAAAGGATGGATAGAGGAAAATGGGACAGCACCTGCAAAACCAGGGTCAGGGATTACAGTGGCAGTCAAGAGCTTGAAGCCTGATGGTCTCCAGGGCCACAGAGAATGGGTGGTTAGTAGAAATATATGCTTTGGGTTAGTAATTAGATTGTTGTTGAAAAGTAACTGTTGATGTATATGCTGAAATTTGGTAGTTTAAGATATAAGCAATTCTCTTGGTGCAGGCTGAGGTTGACTTTCTTGGTCAGCTGCACCATCTTAATCTTGTTAAACTTATTGGCTACTGCATCGAAGATGATCAGCGACTGCTGGTTTATGAATTTATGACTCGTGGAAGTCTTGAAAATCATCTATTTAGAAGTGAGTATAACTTTTTTTTTTCCCTCCTAACCATCTTAGTGGTTTTGAATTTATGAATTTTCAAGTTCATTAACTTCGTTTTTTGTTCCTTAATGACACAACTTCAGAAGCATATTAAAGGAATTACTGATAATTTCCATGTTATTGAAGGGACAATACCTCTTCCATGGTCCAACAGGATTAAGATTGCACTTGGTGCTGCAAAAGGATTGGCCTTTCTCCATAGTGGCCCTGAACCAGTCATCTACAGAGATTTCAAAACATCCAACATTTTGCTCGACTCGGTATGTGGTTTATAACATTCAAGTAGAGTCCTTTAACAAAATTGTTGATACCAGAATTCTTTTGCAGGAATATAATGCAAAGCTGTCAGATTTTGGTCTGGCGAAAGCTGGCCCTCGAGGAGACAAGACACATGTTTCTACCAGGGTTGTTGGAACATATGGCTATGCCGCCCCCGAATATGTTATGACAGGTAAGCAAGTTGTGAAAGATTCATATAACATGGCATAAGCATCTTAGAATCTTTATGCACCAAATAAAAAAGTATGATATTGTGAAATGGATGGATTGAATACTTGTTAGATAATTGCTTGTAGCTAATTACTTCAAAACTTAAACTAATAGTAAATAATCCAATATATCATTTACATATTAGCATTTAATTCCTCGATATATTTTCGACTATATACTACATTTATATTTAAACATCTGATAGGTAAGGTACAATTTGAAGCAATTTCGGAGGAGAAAAATTGAATATTTTATATTTTAAAATTCCAATATTGCAGTATCACATAAGAGTGCCCTTCCATATTTGCAACGATGGGTTTCACATTATGAAAATTTGAAAATATCTTAATTTTCAGAACATTCATTGGCATCCCATAATTTGTTAGTGTGCACTTTTGAAACCTGAATTCTATCTGGTAATTGGAAGTAGTTTCAGTTTCAATAAGGTCCTCTTTGTAACACAAACAATATTTGGCTCCTTTTTCCAAAGGTCACTTGACATCCAAGAGCGATGTGTACAGTTTCGGTGTTGTGCTACTTGAGATTTTAACAGGAAGAAGATCAATGGACAAGAAGCGGCCTAGTGGGGAGCAAAATCTGGTTGCATGGGCCCGGCCATATTTGGCTGACAAGCGAAAGCTTTACCAACTAGTGGATCCTCGCTTGGAGCTACATTACTCACTTAAAGGTGTGCAGAAGGTTTCCCAACTAGCTTACAGTTGCCTTGGTAGAGATCCAAAATCTCGCCCTACCATGGATGAAGTCGTAAAAGTTCTCACTCCTTTGCAAGATCTTAATGACCTTGCCATCTTATGTTACCATTCTCGAATATCCCAACAAGGGAGACGCAAGAAAAAGACTGATGGAACTCAACATCTTGCCCACAGCCAATCCAAGAATGTGAGAGATTCTCCGTTGAACACTGGGAAGCAGCGCTGCAGATGATGGCCGGGCAATTCCTCTCATCGATTGGCTCCGTGATAAAATGAAACAGAGGGTGAACTACTTTCCTCTTTTAAAGCTTGTAGTACACTATACTTTTTTGGGTGTTTTTAAGGTTTGGTAGAGGCAAAAGGGTAATGGAAAGAGGAAAGGTACTGCATCCATATCCTTTCTGAGTAAAGACCTTACATTAGAGAGCTAACCATTATTATGGAGTGTTCCCTTGCCAATTGCTTGTGCTGTAATTGAGGTACATGTAATTACAAACCTCTCATTTCCAATATTGTTATCCTAAATGCCAGTTGCTTTGAGTTTTGAGGATTGTTGTATTCGTTTTCTTTTTCTTGTGACTGTTATACATTTTCAGCATGCATTCTACATCTGTTGTGCTCTCGTAACGAATATTTCAGAAGTTATTTTTTTTTATGTGACTGACTAGAACTTCTTCGATAACTTGTGGGTATTGAGATTCTGATGCGAAGTTAATGCCCCTAAATTAAGGGGACCAGGTGATCATCTAGCCGGAATCCAAAGTTATGTTTGTGTACTACAATATATTGATTTCATACTAGCAAAAAAGAGCTTTTCATGTAGCTAAAAAAATGAGCAAAGCAAGGCAATGTCAATTTCTTTGCTAGTTTGAGAAATTTGATTGTCAGAACTCTTCTTATTTTCAAAATTCTTTGAAGTAAATCGGAATTCATCTTTTTGTGGAGGAAGATATATACATTGATGAAACGATGTAAGTAAATTTGATGTAAATTCTTTTAGGCTTGGGATGAACTTGATGAGCTGACATGTTCCCGATAAAATCAGAAGCTCCACATTCTGCAAGGATAAAAGGAAAAGGCAATGCTTATAACTTAATACAGAGAGCATAAAACATCTCAGAGATTAAGAATAGTTATGTCACATTCCATTCAAGCTCGAATCTCATCAAGAATTAATCTAGCTGCAAGCAGCAATTTAACTGAAGATTTCGTGAGCATCAGAATTTCACTTTGAATTGGATAAACTTACGAATCCGTAATTCTTTACATCGAGGGTCTATTTAAGATGGTCTCACACCATTATTATCAGTTTTAAATGGGTTAAACGACATTATAATATCATCTTTGCTTTAAAGCTTATCCTGCAAATCATTTTCTGGCAAGAAAGTGAACCTTTCAACTCAGAGAAATGCCATTTGACGTCAAATTATTCCAAATATCATCTTTTGTTGCATCGTCAAAAAAGAAAAGCTTTATTTATATTGCAAGTAATCATAGTAGCATCTAGTCTTTGCTTTAAACTTATTCTGCAAAAAAGAAGAAAAAAAAGACGGAGAAAAAACAAAGGGCTCAAAAAGGCACAGTGAACTTTCATATTATAAGATTGGTATCAAGTTCTGATACCAGAAACTTTTCTAGAGAGAATATGGTGGCCGTGTTCATATCTATCTGTATTATTCTGAAAATTTTTAGGCCCAACAAATTGATTTTCAAAACCTTAATACTGTCATTATAATTATTAGAAATTCATATGATCAAAGCCAGCTACCTTAGTTCACGTGCTCATTACTGTGTATATACGACAGTCTCTTGTCATGTAGAATCTGTTTCATGTCTATGAACACATACAGATTATATATATATATACACATATATATATATATAAATAAGTGAGCAACCATAAATTAAGCTACCAGAGGAAAGAAATATCTTTACATAATAGGTGAAGCTTGTAAACTCATGATCAGACTTCTGCTTTTGAAAAAATGGGAAACCATTGATAAGATTACTAAAACATTAGTATTCTTCAGATAATAACTCTTGACATGATCTGCTCCAAAATTTAAGGATATGATTATATATATACTTAATATAAGGGTTATGTTAGATTTTAAGGGCATTAAGTTAATCTATCTGCATTTTTAACTACAAATTAACCAAAAAATATATTCAATAATTCAAGCATTAAGTATATATATATATATATCTCAATCTTATGTATCATATTCCAAATTTATATTCCAAATTTCATTTGTCATTTAGAAATTACCAGCATCATCCTGCTTAATTTGGCTAAAATGGAGGAGTTATTTACTAGCTAGCTAGCTAGAGCCCCTCTCTCTAGATATGATTGTATGTATATGCATATATATATATATATATATATATATTATACACGTATACAAACTAAGAACCTGTAGTTGTAAAAATGCCTGCTTAATTGGAGTAATAATGTACCAAGCACGCCTATTAATGATGATAATAATTAATAAAAAGCAGTACATATATATATATATATAAATGTATACGTACCAGTTTAATACATGTATGTATATACACGTATATCTGGTTTTTTTATCAATTAGGAAGATTTGAAGTAGAGGAAGGGTCCCTGTAAAGGGCATGATGTAAAGAAATGGAAAAGCCGCCCTGGGCATCACCACCAATCACGGGTAAAAAGGTTTCAAGCATCATTTTGATCTCTTAAATTCACTCCTAATTGATAGACACACATACACCCATATAAAAGTGTGTGTATATATACATATATATTTATAGCTAAACTGTCTCTAGGTTCATTGCAATGATATATATATCTATATATATGTAGTAACTAGAGGAATATATTTAGTTAAGACTACATATTCAAATAGAAAATGCAATGATATCAGTTTTATATAATTAATGTTATAATTACTTTATTAGCATATACATAGGAATGCATATATAATATAATATATAATATATAGATACACACCTGGGCATGCTGCAGGAGAAAAAGCTGCTTGATTGCATGGCGAAACAGCAACAAACAGTTAATTTAGACTGTAGAGGCTGCAGAGAAGAACCGCAAAGAAACATTTGTCAGTTGGTAATGAAGGACATGTCAAGAGTATATAATTATTTAATTATCTTTTTCCTTATCTGCCTCTGTTATAAGCTTCTGGGTATTAACTAATATTCTATACATATATATATATATATATTAATATACAGCAAGATCATCATCAAATTTCAGCACACGTCTATGAACAAAGAATATATATATATATATATATATATATATAGATGCAAGTAAAACATGAATGTTATAAATAGTTAATTCATATTTTTCTCTCTATAGAATTTCTAGATAGATATATATATGTATATAGGTATAAGATCATATTAAACTGAGAGAGTAATGGCAAATACAATGTAACAGTAATTACCAGTTATGTTGTTGATGATGAAAATAAATTGAAGGTGGGAAAGTAAAAAATCATAGGAAAGTGATATTGGCGCGGCTCATTCTGAGATCGAATTACAATCGCATCTCATGTAAATCTGTCTTCAGATTGAACCTCACCAACATCGCTTTCTTTGCTTCCCAATCAACCGGCAAACTCCATCTATACATATATATAAACACGCATATATATATATATATATACATACCTCACACAAAACCGGAAAAAAAAAAAAAAAAAAAAGGAAAAGTTAATTATATAGGTATAGGTACAAGTTATAAGGCAGCAAGATTACTGCAGGCAGCACTTTCCAACTTAAAAAAAAGGAGAAAGTACTGGGTAGAATAAAGGATTATTGCTTTATATGGTCCCATGAATGCACCAAAAGGACACTGAAACTCCATGATCTTTTTATGCTGAACCCCCCCTCCCCCTCGTGCATATTTACATATATATTCTCCTATATTATGTAAGAGGTATGGTCATGGTAGTCGGAAACAATAATACTTCAAGTGGGATCTCCAAAATACGATTCCCGATCCTTGAATAATATCAACAAGTAATTCTTTTTTTTTTTTTTTTCCCTTAAAAATCCATATATATGTATACACATATAAACATATCTATATACGGATTCTTACCGTTCCAAATTCATCTACAAGAATATCCATCTGCTTGAAATCCAGAAACCCCACAAATACATATGTAGATGTTAAGCATGCATATATATCATTAAGCTCAAAACTTACAGGATAGACCCATTTAGGGTTCAACGAGTATTACGATGAAATGCATCCATACAGATTATATATATATATATATATGCGTGTGTAGATGTAATGAATCGATCAAAGCAAAATAAAAAGAAGAAGCTAATAGTTAAGGAGGAGGAGGAGGAGGAGGAGCGATCGTGGCGATCTGAAGAGAGAGCGATGATGATCTTGCAGGTTAAGATCGAGATGAGAGATAAGAAGAGTTGGGGTGGGGAGGGAAGACGAAGAGAGGGTGGAGGGGAATGTATAGAGGGGTGAGAATGGCCTCGGGATGAGATGGTGAAGAAGGTGAGTGGAATGATGTCAACTTACTTTTTAGGGTTTTTTTTTTGTGTGTGTTTGTTTGTTTGTTTGTTTGGGGGGGGTGTCATGATGCTTACTTTGTACTCAATTCAATTTCCCCTTTCCCCTCTTCTTGCGCATGCATCTCAAATATTCTCTCCCAACTTTCCCAAACAATTCCTTCTCATTTAATCCTTTTCCTCTCTCCCATACATAATTTTTTAAATCAATTTCTTGAAATTTTGAAAAACTTTTTTCTAACAACATATTTTATAATAATCAGAATGATTATTACGATTTAAACCCACCTACTTGTTCATGTATATATATAATTATTCGTGTGTTGATGATACGATGATTCATTCCAACCCCCACTTTTTCTACAGAATGAGACAGTTGGCTTTATGTGATACATACACCCACCCATTTTTGTTTTTTTTTTCTTCTTCTTCTTCTTCTTCTTCTTCTTTACTTAATATCGATTTGGGTATAAATTAATACAATGTCTTATATACTAAATTCACATATACAAGATGATGGTGAAGTTTTTTGTTTGGTTTAATATTGGAAACATGAGAGCAGAATGTCAGCAAAGGCCAAAGTGATTGTTTGTCTGAGAAAGAAGGTTTTACGTGCAGAGTTTATCCTTTATTCTCTCCCCTCACGCACAATTAACACGCATAGCAATTAGCAAAAAGCTACATGTATACACACGCAGGCATATTGACATAAGATGGAGAGGCAAAAGTGTGTGTGTGTGTGTATATATATATAAAACAAGGTAGAGCGCAGACACCGGCGCTAAAGGAGCACTGCCTTGGGCCTGCACAAGGGAACACACTTCTTGGGTTTTGCTTAATCACTCTCTTTTCTCCTTTTCATATAAGAATAAATATATATATACATATTGGAATGCATACGGCGTCGATTACTCTCTTTTTCTCTTGTGCAATTCCTCTGGTTGGTTTTGTGTTTGAAATGAAAGTTTTTTTTTTTTTTTTTTGGGAAATGTAAAATTAAAGAGCCTTTTTTACTTAATAAAAAGCTCTCTCTCTCTCTCTCTCTCTCTTCTTTCTCACTCATGATTTTGGGCGTGCCTCCAACCAAAACAGATTCCCTCACGCCTTAAAACCATTCTTTCTGAATTCATCACCAGATCCTATGACCTTTTTACTTCTTCTTATTCTTATATTAAGTGTTTTCTTCTCTAATTTCATATCTTTTTATTCCAAGTGATGGGTTTTTTTTTTCTTTTTTTTTTTTTTATAGAAACAAAATCCCAACAACATAATATCTCACTAAAAGTTACCAATGACCATCACCCACATCAAATATTTATTTTGTGTGTCAATTTAGTTTATAATTAGAGACAAACTTAATGGGAATTGGGAACATAAATTTCAACTTTAAGAGAGAGAGAGAGAGAGTGAGAGAGAGAGAGAGAGAGGGTTTTGATTAAAGAGATGGACAAAGAGGGCATGAATGTTTTCTACTCAAATGTACTTAGGTTTCTTTATGCTTTTATGGGCCATATATGTTTGCCTTTGTTTTACTACCAAAACAAACATACTTTCCTAACCTTTAACACCACCTTTCAAAAGAATATTTGAATGGGCAATTTCATTTTTTTCTTTTTTTTTTTTCAATCTTATTTTGGATGAGTAGAAATAGATTATCATAGCATATTATTGTACTACATGTTTGGCACCATTAGTATTTTGTGTTGTGAATATTAAATATATTGTTTACATAGTTATTGAGTAATAATGTTATTACTAAAAAAAAAATTTGTTAAATGTTTAGTAACATATATATTGACAAAGCATTTGTGTTAGAGTTTTGCAATAAGAGTTCGAAGTAATATATAAATATATGCACACATACATAAAAAAAAAAGAAAGAAAAATAGGGATTAAAGAGAAATTAGTTGAAGAGAAAGACATTCATTGAAGCAAAGTTGAAGGTTTTGAAATTGAATGTGGCGTTGATGGGTATATGTTTCAATCATGTATGGCAATAAGGTCAAACTCCCTTGTCACCTTGTGGAGACAACAAAGACACCCTCCCTTTCCACGAACTCCGGCTGCTAATTACAATGAGCTCGATCCCTTTTTTTTTTACCCCCCATTTCTATATATATGTTTGTAATTATGTCTAATATATATATATATATATATATTTTCATTATGTGCCTATATGTGTATATGGGATTTCTATGTCCACACATGCAGGCAAACTCTCCTAGAAAGCTTCCCAAAATAATTAAATATTTCCCTCAGCAATAAGAGAGATTAATATATATATATATATAAGAATATATTTTGTTTTAATCTTTGTAAAAGGATGGAACAACAAATGGGACATGGATTCACCTTTTTCGGGAGGTGCTAGGACACCCGAAGCTCAACTAGTCACCCGCCGGGGCATCCATAAAACCTACATGATATAATATACATATATATAAATATATATATATATATATGACTAGAGAACGGTGTTATTTTAATTTACGGATACAAATAGTTAAATACAGTGGAGATACATAATAATTAATAATGTCTCAAATGTCAGGAAGTGTTATGGGAGCATGCTAAGGCTTTGAATAAAACAGTAACCAGAGAATTGGACCCTCCCCTTATAAAGTTCTTCAGAGAGAGGAGGTCTCTCATGCACATTAATTTGAAGCACAAGAAAGCTGATCTGATCTATTGTAAAAGCCAAGATGAGGATGAGGGGCCTGGGGGAAGGCAAAGTTCTTATATATATATATATGAAGGCAAATGTCAGTCAAATGATTAACCTTTATATTTAAACATTATAGCTTATATATACGTGCATATATACCCATATATGTAACCCATGTATTAATTAATCTGGAACATCAACTATATTATAAATTTATCTCCCAAAAAAAAACATGGTGGTGTGTGATGTGATAAATTAGCAGGTAAATTTGAAGTAAAAACATAAATGACAAACAATTCATAGTTCGATTAATCTAACTCATTTTGAGGAATGAACGCCTCTGTGAAGAAATTTTGAGATTATAATCTCTCTCAACCTCAATCCCGAATACACCAAAAAAAAAAAAAAAAACTCGCAGAATAGTCTGGAACTCAAGACTTGTAATTCAAAATATTTGCATAAAAAGGGACCCTAAAAGCCATATTCGTATATAAAAAAAATATAGGTTGTGCATATTTATGATAAACATGTATGTATGTATGTATGTATGTATTGTGCGAGGATATCATATACATGCAGTTTAAACGTGGGGAGCCGCAAAGTAAGCTTTATTAGAAGTGGGACTCAGGCATGCACTGATCTTCATTAATGTGTTTGTATAGTGTGGTGTGGTGGGTATGCATGCATTTGTTTCTTTTCATGTAGAAATGATATAATATCAACTCTTTACGAGGGAAGTATGGTATCTATTGGCTCTGCTGATATACGCCTTTTTATCAACTATCAAACTATCATTTTCAAGCCTCTGTACCCACACATCAATCAAAAGAAAAACTTAGCCTTGAAGATTTTAAAGTTTGACTGTAACTTTCTGTAATCGAGATGATAAAAAAAAATAATAATAAAAATAACAGGCAATCTATAAGAAAATTGAAGGATTCAGGCGGATGAAAATTTTATTTCGGCATTTTTATTCTTGGCTCAATCAGGGAAAAAAAAAAGGTTTTGAAAATTTCCAAAGAGTTCAAACTGGTTTCTTTGAATTAAGATGTTTGAAGTCGCTATCCATTCCAACCTGGAATTTCCTGCAAGTATCTTTAACTTGGTTGTTTTGGTAGGCTACTTCACAAGTTCGCTTCAGCCAGACTACTTCGTTCTTTCTTTTTTTCCGTCGTTCTCTATTCTGTTCTTCCATTTCCACAAGCCCACTAACATTTTAAAAAGGCAGGCCCGAGTTAACCCCCTCAAAAGAGAAAAAGAAAAAGAAATCACAGTTCAGTCCTCATGAAGTACATATATGAAATCCAGTAACACGAGTATATATATATATATTCACATAGGAGTAATTACGGTCATAAAGTCTTCTTACTTACCTTTGCTCCTAGAAGTGCCATATAATTGATCGAGAACGTGAATGCATATGTAATTCACGATGTTTTCGTTTAGCAAAAGCCTGCCAGATTGACAAATTTCCAAGTGAATGATCCCGTTTTTTCTCTACACCATTCCATCGCCCAAACCATTTCCGACTTCCGGGTGAAAACATCACCAGAATATGAAACTGCGCATGGCTAGGAGTTTCAGGACGCCGGCAATGGCCCAAAATTACTACGCACGAAGGGTAGACAAGCCCAGGCCTAAAGCTCAAAGAGTACGATGCTTTAAACTTGGGTTGTTACCAACTTTTTGTTTCCTTTATCATTGCTTTGATTTTCTTTTCGCCTGATCTTCCATTTTCCTTTCATAGCCAGGCCCAGGCCTAACGCTCAAAGAGTACAATGCTTTAAACTTGCGTTATTATCAAATGTTTGTTTCCTTTGTCATTGATTTGGTTTTCTTTTAGCCTGATATTCCACTTTCCTTTTCTTTTTTTTTTCTTCTTCTTTTATCAAACAAGAATTTCTATTTAAATAAACAAGAGAAGAGATGAATCTACGATCTCTGGTATTTGTTACTGTAGAATCAAAATTGGGCAGCAGCGGGAGTGCCATTTCAGTAGTACCTCCGGTATAGAGCCCCCATGCAGTGCCTTCGGCACTATTTCCCTCGGAGTTTACAGTACGCATATAAACAGGATCCAAAGAAACTAAGTGATTGACCAACAACATTCAACTGAAAGCAAACAGTAATCAACAACGGAAGGTAAGCTGAAATCAAACTTTTAGTTAGTATCGTTGCAAAAAAAGGTTAAGAATCAGAGAGGTTGATGCTCACCCAATCAAATGGAAGCCCACCAAATATTAGCCAGCCAAGTGCAATGGTAAGAAGGTCCTGTAATGGAACCACATGACTTTAACAAGTATGCATTGGTGCTGAATTGAAAAAAATTAGATTGTGAATTAAATTGCAAAGAACCCCTCAAACTTAATGAGGTTAGATTGCACGTAAAAGGTTTTAATGTATTAAATATTAAAGTTGGACCTTTTCAATAGGTTAAGATTTCAACCATCCTTAATTAACTATTATAACTTGCAGTTCAACCATTTGAATTCTTCTAAATAAGATCGGATGGTAAATTAGCTTGCCAAGTTAGCTAGTTGCCATACAACCACTTTCCTTTTATGATCGAAGGCATTTGACTTGTGGGAAATTTCTAGATTTTCGTGATCCAAATTGAGGCAAAATTTTTCTAAGTCCATCACAACAAGGAGTGGTTCATTGAGCATAAACATAAAGTTAATATTTAATAATAGAAACAAAATTTTCTAAAAACTTGCCCAGAGTGAAATATAAACAATTATTTATACATAAATAAGTCCTTTATGTACAAGCTGGTTTGGCTGCTAAGTGTTAAACAGGCACATATTCAAGTTACCTCAGACTAATTAATATAAATCTAACAATATTCAACATTCAAATACCATACTTTTGTTATTCTTATATGTTCACTAATGAAATTTGAATCTATTTTTTTCTAAAACTATTCAACATTCAAATACCATACTTCTGTCATTCTTATATGTTCACTAATGAAACTGAATCAATTTTTTCTAAAACTAATACTAATGGAACATGACTCAAGTGATTATTTATAAATTAATTATGAAAGATGTTCGAGAAAGATCCCATGGACAAAATTCAAAGAGAAAACTGCAACGATAATATATTAACCAGAGCAGGTGTAACAGCAGCTTTAAGCAAATAGATCTGCGTTGTGAGAGTTCTGTTTACCTTCAGATTACCACAGATTGTCTGCGTCAGAGCTGAATTGAGTGTTGTATTCAAGAATACATAATAGTTTATCAAGAAAGCCATGATACAGGAAAAAAGCATCACAATCTGCAAGCACATCGCAGAGCGGATTCTCATTAGATCAGTAAATCAATTACTAATGGCAGAGATTTCATAACATTTGTGTACATATTTAATCACATATTGATGCCCACAAGCTGATGACAACTAGAAAAGAAAAGAAAGACTTAAAATGCAAATATTAACTTAAAAAATAACAAACTAGTAAATTTGCTGTTTTTTCGTGCCATGACATTATCATTATTTTCGAATATTTAGAAAACCTTAAAAGGAACTATAAGATGATTTTGACCAAGTAAAGTACAATTAGAGAAATAACAAGGGAAGTTATGTTCTGGTGCAAAAGTGCTGAAGGCAGGACTATAATCGAGTTGGTCCTTCCCAGCCTCCATTATGGTAGACCTGTAATGGAGTAAATAGTGTTTAAACAAATCGAAGCAAATGGAGATACTTCAGAACATTTCCTATTGTCAGAGTGAAATTTCTACGGGGATATGTTAACAATACATTAACAACTCACAATCAGAAAACATGCATATAAAAAAGGACAGTTCAGCTTAAAATGAAATAACCGAAAAGGTTAAATCATAAATATAAAAAAATGCATACAATGGACTTAGACACCATCTTGATTTCATTATTTGTTAGCAGAGCGAATCAACAAAAGATTGCTGCTTTCCTTTCTCTTTAAAGAAGATACAAAAATATGTGTTATCATCATAAGAACAGTTGCCCTCCTATTGAAGATAATGGAGGAAATTACAGAAAAACATTTTTTAGTAATAGAAAAAACAAGAGCAACTGCACAGTTATCAACTATTCAATTCTAGTAGGGAAAGTGATCTACTTGCACAAGCAACTAGATATGAGAACTTTTGAGAAAATAGAGTGCTAATTTGTTTTAGCATGGTGAAATTGGCTAAAGACTAAAAGAATTATATTTGACAGAAAGTAACAACCAAAAAGAAAAGGTACCTTAAAAGTTTAAAAGCTTAAGGATAATAGAAGTCCTTGTGAAAAGAAAGCACCTGAAAGCCTGGGGAGAATAGATGTGGGAAGTTTAGTGTTGCTTCTATATCACCTCTGATTGATGTCCAAAACAACAAAACTGGTGCACATATTATTCCTGAAAATATCAGGAGGATAAAATAGTTGGTTTAGAGGAGCCCAATGCAGTTCTTCTCTCTCTAAAAGTAGTGGATAATTAGTCAACAACAATTACTTTAGTCCTCTTATCATACCATTGCACCACATAAGACCAAAACTATTGAGGCCACTCGATTTACCTGAAATGTTAAAATTACGTCAGACATAAATAATAAGAATTTCCAGTTACTATGATAGGTAACACCTAAAAGCCATACGGGTGATATATTACCAATACGAGCAATAGAAGCAAGATACATTGCTGTACATATATTTGCAATGAAAACAACACCATAGCCATAAATGTCAAATGCCAAGTCTCCAGCTCCAGCAATGAGTGCACCAAGTATTATTATTCCAACACTGAGGAAATCCTTGTATTAGTTCCACTAGGAAAGGCATCAGCAGCAGGAAAGGCTACATCACATGCTTTTAAATATATCAAAGATATGAAATTAGAAGATATATATGTCAAGCTTTTTTCTCAGTGCACATAGGATGATTCAGATACTCATCAATTTTATTGAGAAATGAAGTGCATTAAATACTCCAATATATCCACATCCAACAATCTTTTGGACCCCTGGACTACTGAGAATGTCTTGAAAAGTTACTTCATTAACAGGCTAATTGCAATATGCAATACCTGTTTGATCAAGCTTTTAGGCCATGCACATTGGCTTTCATGCATCCACGATGAAATCAAAACCCATTTTTCTGCTTCCAAATAACTATTGACACAACCAGAGGAATATAAAATAACATCAGGTTGTGTACCTGCCAACAACAGGAGGTGAATACTTCTGCCCACTCAAAAGATACTCCGCAATCATAGTAAAAACAATAGTAGTCCTCCGGAGGGTGGTGTACATGGGAACACTTATGCCACGGACAGACTCCATTGTGACCAGCTTTACCCAGATGAAAGATTACAAATTCATATATGAAAGCTTTAAGGTTTCTAGTGGGAAAGTATGTGATTACTTGTGTCATTAAATACATACCATGTAAAGCAAATATGAAAAGGCCATCGGGAGGGCGTGAATCAACGTTTTAGATGGTACAAGGGTAACTGGATTATTACTGGCACTCAGCGGTTCGTTGGATGTAAAAAAAATGATCTTCCAGTATTTCATTGCATACAGGATTGTACAGGAACAGAGCATCTGGAATACGTATAAGATATAAAATGCTCCAAATCAAAAAATACGAATAATTATAAACCAAATTGAATGAAATTTACTCATCTGCATCATTTTTTGGGGATAGGCTGAACTGAACAATTATTAGATTGTAGATGGATAAAAAGACAGAACAAATATTAGATTGTTGTCACTCAATGCATGGACCGGTTAAACACTGCCGAAGTACATGGGTGCAAAAATATAAAATGGACTGGAGCATCCCATTTTGAGGATTTAATGGAGATTATTTTAGTAATTGGTCCCCTGAAGACCAAATCACTTTTGGTTCCATAAATATAGTGCGCAAGGAATTTCTATGCTAATGTTTTACACCATCCTGGAAGAATTGCACTAGGACAAATTCATTTTTTGCACAAACTAAAGTGTCATTCAGCAACGTAAAAACAAATTTCTATCGAGCTATATCAGTAAATCTTGCTAGAGCAAACAAAGAAGGGTTTTCATGATCAAGAATTTATGAACTAGTCTGCAAAAGTATTTCAGCTACCTGAGAAAGAGTGATAATATTTGCACTTGGGAAACTGTAAGAAGAAAGAGCTGCTTTGTTGAACATTACCAACAGAACTGCAAAATTATATAAAGCATTACTACAAGCTGCAAAATGAATGTTTATAAATTCATGGAAAATACATCATGAGGAAAATAGCAAAATCTTGAATAATGAAACATTAACCTAGCTTTTTCACGTCGAGTTCACAAGTCAAGCATATATAATGAGACAAGCACTGAGCTCTACTGTAATTCAATTACATAATAATTATTTCACCTTCTCTATGACTCCAAATCCTCATATAAATGTTCAGAAATCCTGAAAACTAGGAAAAATAGACAATGAAATTATGAATAGAAGACACTTTCCATAACCACGGTATTATAATTTCCACTCTTTCATATGATCTCATGGATCAAACTGTAAGGACCGATCCAGATCATGGGCCAATTGGTTGGCAGAACAGAAGCAAGCCGCTGCTCGTTTACTCCAGAAAAGCTACGGGTAAAATGAGTAACTGAATAGCAAGACAGGTTAGGCGTATTGACCCAGCTACTAGTATTTTCCTTATTGTTATTTCCATTTCTGCCAGCTGGGGTTACAATTCGGTTATTTTGTTATTGAATCCTTTCTGTTACTTTAATAGTCGTCAGTATTCAGGGTACAAATAGCACTGTACTATTATAGTACAGATATGGAAAAAATATCACAAAAATCAAAATGAAATTCACTGATTCTTTCAGTGATTTCTTCACTCTATTCTCTCTATTCTTCTCTATAGTAATCTCTTTTTCCTCTAATTCTGTTCTCTCTTATTCTCTCTTCTGTAACCCCATGTTCTTTTCATTTAGAAGGACTACGCTCTTATGGTCAAGGGCTATGTCTTAGGCTCCTGACACCAACTTTGACCTACATGCAGTGTTTTCCTGTGTCCAAATGGCTTTGTTGATTCAAATAAAGAGTGTTACATATCATTACCTAAATGTCGGTATGAGTTTAACATTGAAGTTCCAAATAGTTTATGCCGGATATAGTTCTTAGTCAAAGGATTCAAAACCTTTGCGTTCTTGCTCTTTTTTTTCCTAATCCTAACCTGTTTTAAAATTTCAATAAGTAAGATTAAAACTGCCATTGAATAGCATTCACTATTCGTGTCCTTTAGATAGTTCTTATTGCGGGCCTCTTCCACACTCACCTTTATGGCTTTATCAAATCTCCACTATTTGTGTCCTTTAGGTAATGTCAAAAAATGCCGTACTCCTAGGACCACCACATTGCCTGGGCGGAAGAACACTTTTTGAGGTTAATAATTACTCCATAAAATTTTTGTGTGCCTTCAATGATAACCAAATTATCTTTTGAAACCCGTAATTCGTGTATTTCTCTTACCACAATATGCATAGATCTTACTTACACAAACACATCCACAGACAAAGCATATATGCACAATTAAACCATGCAACTCATCCATTTCTATTTTATCATTGAATCCCGTAAAACAAGTAAACAAGCTAAATTTAACACATCCACCTTTACGCATCTGATGTCTTATATAAGACAAATTCTATGAGGAGCGTAAAAATTGTAAAAGGAATGTTTCCTATGTACAATATTTTATCGGTAAGCAAACAGAAAGTTAAGAAAAAACGAAAAAGTATAGTTATCAAAACAATCCCTCTCGACGCCCCATTCCCGGTTCTAACCAAAAAGTAAAAGGAAAGAAATTAAGAAGAAAAAAAAAACAGAGTCGATTCCATGACGCAGAGAGCAGGACAGGCTATCACACGAGACAAATCAACCTAAAGGATCAAATACGTAACAGAAATTCAAATTTCCACAAAAAGAAAAAAAAAAAGCAGCGAGAGCATCATTTACCAGCGCAGACCATATAAGAGACGGCAGCATAGACTCCTCTCTTCGTCATGGCCGTGGCCTTGTAGTCGCGTTGACTCTGTTCTTTCATTCTCGTCGACGGATCGGTCACTGGTAACTCTCCTTCCTTCACCGGAGCCATGCCCAATCCCCGTTAGCAGCTTTCTCTCTCTCACTCGCTCGCTCTTTTGAATGAGGAGAGTAGTAATAAAAGGAGTAGGAAGAGAGAAAACCAATAGCTGTTACGCGAGTGGCAGAAGCCCAAGAATGGTTTGGTGCAGAAACAAGTGGCATGATTTATAGAAGTGAGGGTCCACATAGTGCTCGGTCCCACATTATCAGATATTAATGGCTTCATGATTTGTTTCTTTTCTTTTTTAGATTTTTCTCCCCTCTATTTTGGTTAATTTTTTAATGGATGGATCCGGTACCAGCGCACCAGATATTAATACAAATTATTATTAATTAAAAATTAGATTTAAGCCTAATATTATATAAAATTCATAAACTTCTACAAATTTTGGTACATTAAATTATATTTTTCATAAAATCTTACAATAAAATATTTCCTTAAAAATAATGAGCATTTTAATTATAATATAAAATTATATTAATAGAACAACTAACCTACTAGTACCTCTCTTATTTTAAAAACAAATTTTTCCCAACACGTGATTTTTGGTGTACCTCTTCTTATATTATATAATATTATTACAAGCAACTAATTTTTTATTATTTAAATTATTATTTTTAAAGTATTAATATACCACACATATAGTTATTAGTATTTAATTTATCTAATATTATTCTTTATTTATTTATGCAAAATATCTTATATTAATAATAATTAATAAACACGGCAAACATAATAATATTTATTTTCAATGCGAATTAAAAATAATTAATCATTTTAATTTACGTAATTTTTATTTACGTGAGAGAATATACGAATAATTTATTTAAATATATGATTTTTAATATAATATTTATTAATAATAATTAAAAAAATAACATTTGAGAGAATTTTGAAAAAAAAAAAAGAAAAAAGAAACATAAAAGAGGATGAAACTGGAGGCTAACTGCCCCACGAGTCAAATGACCCGAGAATCCAAGATCTCTCCCGGTAACGCTTTCCTTCTCCTTCTTCCTTAACCATTTCTCTCTCCTACTTCCTTCCCGTCGAAGGAAATAAAAGTAAAATCAATTAGTCTTCTCTGTCTCTCATTCTCTATCTCAATCTTTATCAAGCACCATGCAAGAAACAGAGCTACACGATTTATCAGACGATGCCGACTACGCGGCCTCTCAACAGCAAGTAAGCAATTCAAGCTTCATTCAACACTCTCGTTTTTTTTCTTTACAACCTCTTGGTCGCATTCAATCGTATATTAACAATTCAGTTCGTATCTTAACAAGGACTCCAACTTCTTTGTCGTATGATGAGCTCCATTTCATTGGCTATTTGTCTCTGATTTCTTTATTTTTAATTTTAGGTTTTCTGTTTGTTGTAATTTTGTAATAAGTAGGGATCGGCGAGCATGATGCGTTGCGATAGTGACAGGAAGAGCTCGTCGAGCGAACCGGAAGGTGCAGAGGTGCTGTATTCGAAGGATAATGTCACAATTCATCCAACTCAGTTCGCTTCTGAGAGAATTAGTGGAAGATTGAAGCTAATTAAGCAAGGATCTTCACTCTTTATGGTAACAGTTTACTCTCTTATAGGAATTTATATAGGTTTTTACAAGCGACATATCTTGATTCTATGAATGCACAATTATGTTTCTTGATAGTTAATTGCTTTGTGTTTTTCAACTATTCAAAGTATTATTTTACTGCTTGTACAAATGTAAATTTGTTTCTCTTTATTATATTTACCATTTATGCAATATATGTTTTCATGGGCTTGTAGGTGCGTGGTTCTTATTTTTTTCTTCAAGGTTTGGCTTTATTTGCAATTATTAGCATGCTTAAATGCGCATGTTTATGCGCGAACA